TTTGAAGTTGGGATTATTAAGATTCGCAGCAAAAATAGTACGGAAATGGCGAAGACAGCGTACACCGAATATTGTACAGAACCGTTACGTTACGTCTTACGCTACGTTTTACGTTTTATGAAGACATTACGTAAGACGATACGTAAGACGTTACGTAAGACGTTGCGTAAGACGTAACGTAAGACGTAACGTAAGACGTACCGTAAGACGTAACGTAAGACGTAACGTAAGACGTAACCTTAGGCGTAACGTAAGACGTCGTAAGACGTAACGTAAGACGTAACGTAAGACGTAACGTAAGACGTAACGTAAGACGTAACGTAAGACGTAACGTAAGACGTAACGTAAGACGTAACGTTAGGCGTAACGTTAGGCGTAACGTAAGACGTAACGTTAGGCGGAACCTTAGGCGTAACGTAAGACGTAACGTAAGACGTAACGTAAGACGTAACGTAAGACGTAACGTGAGACGTAACGTAAGACGAAACGTAAGACGTAACGTAAGACGTAACGTAAGACGAAACGTAAGACGTAACGTAGGACGTAACGTAAGACGAAACGTAAGACGTAACGTAAGACGTAACGTAAGCCGTAACGTAAGACGTAACGTAAGACGTAACGTAAGACGTAACGTAAGCCGTAACGTAAGACGTAACGTAAGACGTAACGTAAGACGTAACGTAAGACGTAACGTAAGACGTAACGTTAGGCGTAACGTTAGGCGTAACCTTAGGCGTAACGTAAGACGTAACGTAAGACGTAACGTTAGACGTAACGTGAGACGCAACATTAGGCGTTACGTAAGAAGTAACGTAAGACGTCGCACAGTACCTATTGTTGGCGGTACTGGGGTAATGTGGAAGATGGGCGAGGCTCATCGGGCCCCAGGGGCGGACACACACACCCACACTAGGGTGGAGTGAAAATCTGGGATCTTAAAATTCGACATGGATTATTGTACTTTAAGGTATCCTAAGATTAGCTGCAGGGTCGATATGGAACCATCGGAGGCCCTTAGGCTCCTGCAAGGGGCCTAAAGTTAGGTCTGCAGGGCTAAAACACAACTTTTTGACCCCCAGGGGTCAGTCTAGGGGTCATCCGGGAAACGGCTATCTCTTCAAAGGTGCGGAATACATCCAAGTAAGTACCCACGATGTTTGAACCCGCTGCGCCACCGTCTTCAGCCTGGCTTTTCGACTATTGTGTCCAAAAAACGCCCTTTTTTATTACCTGAGAAAGTGTCTTTCACTCATATCTTCAGAACCATTGGTCTAACAGAAAAAAATAATAAAACGAAACCGCCTTGTCTTGTCGAGATGCATCGATAACATTTACTGTTGTCATATCCGTTCGACCAAAGTTTGGAAGATATGGTCAAAAATCAAAAGTCGAAAGGCCAGGCTAAAGACGATGGCGCAGCGGGTTCAAACTTCGTGGGTACTTACTTGGATGTATTCCTCACCTTTTAAGAGATAGCCGTTTCCCGGATGACCCCTAGACTGACCCCTGTAGGTCAAAAAGTGGTGTATTAGCCCTGCAGACCTAAGTTTAGGCCCTTTGCAGGAGCCTAAGGGCCTCCAATGGTTCAAAATCGACCCTGCAGCTAGTCTTAGGATACCTTGAAGTACGACAATCCGTGTCGAATTTTAAGATCCCAGCTTTTCACTCCACCCTAACCCACACCCACAACAACACACACACGTCAAAAGATCTTCCAGACCATCTTCCGCAAAGATCTATATTCAGCCCGGAGTCTGATGACGACACACAGACAACACAAAACATAACCTCTCTCGCCGGGGAAGGGTTCTGTCCCATAGGGTTCTGTCCCACCTCGGCAGAGCAGTCTGCTGGTCCTTCTGTCGTGCCTGCTCCTTGTCTCAGTCCTGTCGGCGGGGAAGGGTTCTGGCCCACCCCGGCCGAGCAGTTTTCGTGTTCTGTC